GTGTGCCTGCAGTCCCATTTTTGGCTACGCTGTCCCCCCCCAGATATATAATGGGTACCATGTCAAAGCGCATTTGTCTGAGCGTACCCGGAGGGAGGCAATCATCTGCATGTCATAGGTCTTCAAACTTTGTCCACCTATTGCCTGACGGTAGGCGCGGCCAGGTGTTTCCAGTGTAAGGGAATGAGGGCCTTAGCTGCGGAGAGTAGGTGTATGGTGAGGGATTTTTTTTTTGTATGTATGCAAAATAAACAGGAGTGAATTCCTATGTAGGTCAGAATATACACAACTCAGTCTCCAAAATGAGAAAAAGTCAGTTGGCAAAAAATTATCTAGTTTCCAATATATTTCTATGCTCATTAGTCTGTAGATAATTCAACATTAGTGAGGTCACGGACTCATCATTGAGTAAACTTTGACCCTGTACCTCACAGTCAGCAGACACATTCCAGCCAATCAGCAGCAGACCCTCCCTCCCAGACAGCTCACTAAGAATGCAGCTTCACAATGAATGTAAAATGGATGCTGTCCAGGAGGTGGGAGGGTCTGGGAGGGTCTGCTGCTGATTGGCTGGAATGTGTCTGCTGACTGTGAGGTACAGGGTCAAAGTTTACTCAATGATGAGTCTGCGGCGAACCGTTCGGGACATCACTATTCAACATATGTACAAAACATCTGCCCCAATGCTTTCAACTACATGTATTTACTAAAATCACCAGAAGAATGTTAGTCTACAGTCCCCTAAAGATGTGATTCCGCGCAGACGTAAAACTCCTAGAAGCCTTGACATTGCTTCTTCATGATGTCAAAGAAAAAAATCTCAACCATTTAATAGAGACAAGCACAGCCATAGAAATGGCAAAGTTCTCAAAATTAGTCCTATCTCCAAAACTGCAAGTGCAAAACGCACAGGACTTAGAAGTCCTACACAGTCAAATATGTTTGAAATTTTACTTGATAGAACATTAAAATACAGTTTTATATAAAACATTGGGGGTCTAAGACCAAGTCATAAAATAAGCAATGCAGAGGTTGTGTTAGACAAGAAGCAACAGTCCATTGCTTTCCTTCATAATAGCACCATTTTTAATACCAAGCATCTTTATTGTTTATTGTAGCCAGTGTAACAAACCTTTGCAATAAATAGTAGTGGTGGTTTTGTTTGTTTGTTTTGAAACTGCAATATCCTCATCTTCTCACCTCTGTTAGTCCACTGCTCATGCATTATCTGTATATTTACCCATGAGTTACTCTTTATATTAAAGCAATATTTTGTCAATGCTGATTGTGGGGAAGTGGCAGGATTTTAAAGTACCACTAGAGTGCCAGGAAAACACACTCGTTTTCCTGGCACTATAGTGCCCTGAGGGTGCCCCCACCCTCAGGGTCCCCCTCCCGCCTGGCTCTGGAAGGGGGAAATGGGTTTAAACGTACCTTTTTCCAGCGCTGGGCGGGGAGCTCTCTGCCTCCTCTCCTCCTCCTGGGCTGAATGCGCACGCGCGGCAAGCGCATTCAGCCGGTCGCATAGGAAAGCATTTACAATGCTTTCCTATGGACGCTGGTGTGCTCTCACTGTGAAAATCACAGTGAGAAGCACGCAAGCGCCTCTAGTGGCTGTCAATGAGACAGCCGCTAGAGGCTTTGGGGGAAGGCTTAACCCATTAATAAACATAGCAGTTTCTCTGAAACTGCTATGTTTATTAAAAAATGGGTTAACCCTAGAAGGACCTGGCACCCAGACCACTTCATTAAGCTGAAGTGGCCTGGGTGCCTAGAGTGGTCCTTTAACTACAGCTACTGAACATATATTAGGTGATCAAACCATTAAACAGCTTGATTGATTTCTATGTTAGACACAGCCATGTCTGTGGTCCCATTATCACTCAATAGATTAAACTTTGGCTAAGTGCAACAATTGAATAAAGTTTAGAGTTAATGGCAAAAAAAAGACATGAAAAGTTTGAACTAATGCAGATGAACATTTACAGCCATTATCGTTTAAAAGGAATACTCCAAATACCATGACCACTATGCCAAAATGGAATGTTTCATTTTAAAATGAACACTCAAATCACCATAAACACTACAGCCCACTATAGTGGTTATGGAGTCAGGATTTCCCTCTCATGGTAAGAAGTCAAATTGAGAATTTTATTTGACAATTTACCTAGGATCATTTGCTTCCTCATGTGAGGTCAGAAGTTCCTGCAAGCAGCTTCTGCTATTTCCACCAAGCTAAACCCTGCATTACCAAAACTGTTTAATCCCTCTGCTACCAGAAGCATAATTAGGGCATCAGTAGCTGCCTGGAACAAGAGTAAATTCTGTGAAACTTTGGCAACTTCCAAGCAACATCAGCACACCAGAGGCCAGCGGGTACCAGGTAAGGGGGGGGGTTACAAACTGTTAAACAGTTTGCCACATTACTGGGGTGTGGTACTCTGCAGTGGTTATGATGCTTACAGCAACCCTTCTTTAAAGAACAGATTACTATGATGACAGACCAGTGGTAGTCAACCTTCAGTATTCCAGATGTTGGACTAGATTTCCCATAATGTTCTTACAGGAATAACGCTAGCAAAGCAGATATAGTCAATTACAATTATTAATATAGCACTAACATATTCCACAACGCTATACAATAGGTAAACACTAAAAAAACAAAACAAAAAAAAAAACAAAAAAAAAAAAAAAATTAGAAACATGATTGACATGTGAAGAGGGCCCAAACAGATGTAATTTACCTTAAAGGACCACTATAGGCACCCAGACCACTTCAGCTTAATTAAGTGGTCTGGGTGCCTGGTCCAGCTAGAGAAACTGCTATGTTTACACTGAGGGTTAATCCAGCCTCTAGTGGCTGTCTCATTGACAGCCGCTAGAGGCGCTTGTGTGCTTCTCACTGTGAAAAGTCACAGTGAGAAGATGCCAGCGTCCATAGGAATGCATTCTAAATGCTTTCCTATGAACTGACTGAACATGCGTGCGGCTCCTGCCGCGATGCGCATTCAGCCGATGACGTCGCTAGGAAGGAGGAGAGGAGGAAAGCTCCCCACCCGGCGCTGGAGAAAGGTAAGATTTTAACCCCTTCCTCTCTCCAGAGCCCGGCAGGAGGGGGACTTTTTTCTGATGTTTTCCTGGCACTATAGTGGTCCTTTAAATAAATTGTATCTCAATCTCTAAATTGAACTTTAAAATCACATACAGGAGGCTCTTGGAGAGTCTAGCAAGCTATTAACATAGCAGGGGATAAAAAAAAAAAATAAATAAAAAAAAAATCTTAAACAGAACTTGCAATAAAGAAAGCCTAAATAGGGCTCTCTTTACAGGAAGTGTTTATGCAAGGCTCTGCAAGTCACATGCAGGGAGGTGTGACTAGGGTTCATAAACAAAAGGGATTTAACTCCTAAATGGCAGAGGATTGAACAGTGAGGCTGCAGGGGCATGTTCTATACACTAAAACTGCTTCATTAAGCTAAAGTTGTTCAGGTGACTGAAGTGTCCCTTTAAAGTACAGTGGAACCTTGGAACTAGAACTTAAGTTCCCGAAGGCTGTTCGAGAACCGAATTAACATTCCCATAAGAATTAATATCCAGTCAAGACCCCCAAAAATTACAGCATTTTACATACTTTTTCCACCCAAAAGCAGACAGGTGTTTATTAGAATCCAAATGTGAGTCCATAAACATCGCCTTAAATACTTCAAAACTGAAATATACATAGGAGTAGGATCACCTTTCTTCAATTTAGTTGAAGGTTTTTAACTCCCTACCGTGCTCCAGACCTGTGACACAATAGATTGGTCTTACAAATGCACCCTTTTCTGACTTGAAAATGAGACATGGCTCTTTGCTGTATGTTCGGGTACCGAGACATTTTTTTACTCAAAATTTTCGTTTGACTTCTGAATTGTTAGAGAATGGGACCGTTCGAGTTCCGAGGTTCCACAGTAATGTGATTTTAGGCTTTTTTTTTTTTTTTTTAAAGGCTTGTGGAAGAACATTCCATAAGAAGGAGCAAAATTAGATAAGAGGGAAAGAGTCGGATGCAGAAACTGGATAGTATAACGTCGAAGGCAGAGTGAATAGGCTAGACTGGAGCAGATCTACTGATGAGTGTGGATGTGTAAGCAGGGGCATGGTTACAGAGAGCTTTGTAAGCAAGGACGAATATTCTGAACCATATCCTAACGGAGCAGGAAGACAGTGCAGAGACTGACCAACCTTGCTGGGCGTAAGGTAGAGAAGTCTGGCAGAGGTGTTCATTACAGACTGCAGAGGGTCAATCTGGGCACTTTTCAGTCCGATAAGCAGAGTGTTACAGTAGTCAAGACGGGAAATAACGAGAGATTAAAAGGGTCAATGCAAGCACAAATGCTTTCCATAGAAATTGCAGTGTTTAACTTGCATTTCCAAGTCTGCCCATAGTTGCAGTCTACCAGACAGCCACTAGATGGCTTCCTGGATTGAAACAGACCTTTGGTCTGGTATCCAACGTTGGATGTCCTCTTGCCCTGCATGAGGACACCCAGCGTTAGATTTCTTTCCACATAGAAAAGCACTAGTTCAATGCTTTCCTATGGGGAGATCTAATGTGCACGCATTTGCCATACCTGCGCATTAGTGCCAGCACGTCAGAGGATTCAGAGCATCTTCCCACCGCCGAGAGACATCGGAGCTGGAATGAGACAAGTCAAGGGTTTTAACCCTTTATTTTCCCCGGTGGTGGGGTGGAGCAAGGGAGGGGAGTGACAGAGGGTGCTTTAGTGCCTGGAATACAGCTTTTTATTCCTGGCACTTACAGTATCCCTTTAACAGTGTCCTGAGTAAGAAAAGGGCGAATGTGAGAAGTGTTTTTACAGTAAAAGCAAAATTGATAGATTTATGCAGTGTGCCTTCGGGATACAGGTCATGATAGCTCCATTGACCTTACGATAAATAGACACAGTCATAGCTTTAGGAGGAGAAAAGTTCAAAACATCTTTATAATGGTCTTTCTATAAAAATAAATAAAATAAAAAACACACACACACACACACACACACACACACACACACACACACACACACACACGTGTGTCCCTCTGCATCCCCAGCAATAAAAGGTTAAAAATCTGATAATTAGATTCCAGCACAGAGGTCATTCAGAATTGAATTGTGTACCTCCTGCAATATAGCACGGCGATCACATTGGCGCCATATATGCTTTAGACCTACCCCATTGTAAAGAATTGAATCAATGCTTTTCTACAAGTATTTATTTTTATTGATGCTAGCCATCCTCATGCAAGATGTGAGTATGCCCAGCGTTAACAGAATTACATCGTAGGATTAAGGGGACTGAACATTGCAGCCGGGCCACTTCAATGAGATGAAGTAGTCGGGTGGCTATAGTGTCCCTTTAAAGTGTTTACACTTAAATGTTAAGAAAAGTAGTAGACAACCAGGTCTAGAAAAACATTGGGAAGGTGTACAATAAAAAAAAAAAAAAAAGGGAGGGGAAATGGGGTAAACACATTCTCCATCCACAATCAAATATACATATGTATGGGAACATAGAATACAGCAAATATGAAATATAGTTAAAAAAACAAAACAGTAAATATACACACTGTCTAAAAACATCCCTTGTGTTCCATCATAAAAACATTGGCCTTGTATCTAAATTAAAATCCAAATATAACAATATATAAAATAGTAAGGTATAGGCCCTATGCTTTAAAGAACCAAAATGTATCCCATACAGAATAAAAATGAAAACATTCATAAGGAAACAAAATATTAAAAATAGAAATTCATGTTTATTTCAACATATTCCACTCAACTTGAATGGACATATACAACTGTATAAAAATAGGGAGTCAGTAAAATCTGACTTTTTATATAAAAAGGAACTATGTAACTATGAAGGCAGTCAGCCAACCTGCAACAGAATGTGACCAAACAAGAACAAGTTTAGTTGGAAGACACACTCAAGTGCAACAAAGCAAAGAACTAAAACTGTCACCACAGTAATTTAAAATCACTTCCCCAAATTACCAAACATGCATGACTAGGCCACAAACGGAAGCAGCATTTCCTAAATGTGTTAAAATAACACTCAATTTTACACTGATAAAGCAAGCTACAGAAAAAATATTTCCAGAGAAACTAGTTTCTGTAAGGTTTTGCATAACAAACCCAGTCCCATGTGAAATTGCAACAACTAGTATCCATTACCAATGAGAAAGTCCAGTACTCAACAAGAACAGATCAGGCAGCGGTCACAAATGAATAAAACCGGCATTCTACAAAATCAAAATAACAGATTATCAATGTATCCATCGAGATTCTATGGACATGATATCTGAAAAGTCATTTAAAATGAACACATTATATATGGATTCAGATGTATACGAGATATAGATATTAATGTGCAGCATATCCAGCTCAGTCTCCCAGCAGCATGCGATTACACGTCAGGAGCCTTGTGCTCTTAGTGACAGGATAGTGTGGGAGGGAGAGTGAGTAAACACATGGTCAATGTCATCTTGATATTGATTTTAGGCAGCAGAGAAGACAACTGACTATGGTTGTGACATTTCAAGTCATTGCATAAGGTCATACTGTTCTCAGGTAGGTACTGAGTCACCAAGAAAGACAAGCTCAGCCTACAAGAAGGGAGGGAGCAGCTGTGCTTTTAGGTGGAAGATAACAGTATAATCATTGTACAAGCTGCCAGATTATATAAATCAACAGTTGGTTACTCGGTGGATTGAGAATTAAATTTTTTACACAATTAACAGGGTAAGCTTGTTTTAGGACTAATGGCTTAACAGCATTATTGACATCAACAAAATGCTGGTAGTTTTTCTATCGTTGGATGGATTCATAATGTAAACTGCAGCATGGGAATAGCACCCCCAAAACTTCAAAAATGTATATCATAGAGCACATAGGCGCAGTCTTTAAATGTTTGGGGCTAAACAATTTGCCAAGCCACTTAAGGAAAGACATAACCCTGGACTTCTTGGCACACCAGTTGGAAGGGACACAACTCTAAACTAGGGACAGGGGCATTATAGTATTAGAAATACAGGTTTTTATTCCTAATGCTATAGTGTTCCTAAAAACTTAGACTTCATTTAAAATTTGAAGACATGGTACCTAAACATATAGTGAACAGGACACTACTTTTTCAAACCAGAAAATAAAGTGCATACATCTACAACTTGTGCTATAAACACAAGTTAATACATCAAAACCCTTTTTTCGAACTTGTGGTTTTCATTAAACATGTATTTTAGAGATTTACTTTTAACAATTTCTTCACCAAAGCAAAATTCAATGATTTATGGAAATTAAACCATCAACAAAAAGACTGTTCAGGCCTTCCCGATAGCAAAAAATAAAGCCTTTTCAACAAGAGTAGGAACTGCATGGCAAAGTTTATGGTGCTTAAAGTAATGTAGTGGTGCTAGAGTGTCAGCACTTGCTATCAAACTGCAGATTTCTAATATAAAAACCAGAGCATAATTATGATTTGCTACACAATTGAAAATATAGTTTTTGGTAAGTAATAGAGCCTCTAATGATATTGACACTTAAAAAAAAAAAAAAAAACCTGCTAATTTAACATTCTGTGGGTACTTTTGAGTGGCTTAATATATTCTGAAGTGCACATCTATTCTTATGTGAAATACTAACTCTTAAAGGTAACTAGGCACCACAATCACTTCATCTTACATCTTATCCTAGTTGGCAACATCAACTGTATTTAATGGTTGTATCTGGTGTCAGGCATAGCGTGCCAATCTTAGATAAATTACACACAGGGTTTCAAAACTAATGCTCCCAAGCACTTTCACTCACTTATTCTTTGACAAAGAAAAAACAAAATGTGATGTGTTTTTTCTTCTAGTTTTTCTTTGTAAATCAAGGAGGAAGCCACAAAAAAAATAAAAAAAAAAACCTACAAACTACTCTGTTGATATTGTATGTCACATCGAATTGAGGGATATACCTGGTCTGCCCTTGCTGGACTACAGCTCCCATCATGGTCAGTGAAATTCTATATGTTGCTTGTGGGAGTGAAAATACACATGTAATAAGATACTAAAGCAACCATTTGCTAAACACAATTTGTGGAGCACTAACCCAATAAACCCCATCCAGTGGTTGATTAGTCTAATTTTACAGAAGTGTTTTTGTGTCACTGTTGACTATCAAACCCTCCCTAAAAGGAAATAAACTGGGCAATGAAGGGGTGGACATGCTCCACAGATCAGTTCTGCAGCCAATGCAAGATACCACGTGATTCAAGGGCTTGTAAACTATTTGTGCCTATTTCACTAATATTTAACTACACGCATTAAAATATAAACATAAGATTCTCCCTTGGCTGCAAAGTGATCACAGGTGGGTCTTGTATCAGTTATTTCACATGTAACATTGTATCATTCATAATGACACTAAACAAATACACAGAAACCCACAGGAAATACACCATCAATGTAGGCTCTGCTTCCTGAAGAAGAAAATATGCATGCCTTAAAACAAGACATGAGACAAATAGGTGTAATAATCTAACCATAGTAATAATGCCAGTCCACTGCTGCTGTCTGACTGACTATGAGATGGTAATTTAGAGCGGACAGACAGCCTCCCATGCCGTGCAGGGTAACTAACACAGGCCGGCTATCCAATGCCAGTCAGTCAGACACAGCCGGTATCCACCCAGAGCAGGGCCTGCTATGCCACCATGACTACCGGGGAGGCCCAGGCTCTCCCCATGGCCCACCCAGGCTAGCGGGGCTGCCGGCAGTGTGCGCACACAGAGCCTGCGGTCACCCAGCCCTCACCCAGCGCGAGCCCTCCTGCCTCACACATGGACTCGCACGAGGTCAGTGGCCACATGCCAGGTTGGGTAGCCCGGCCAGCCAGCCCGCTGTGAGAGGGCCCTGCACCCGGCATGTCTCCCACCGTGTGTTCACCCCCTCCCCCCAGCTCCCCTCCCCCCCGGGCTGTGAGGCTTACAGTCACGGGCGAGCTGTTCATTGAAGTCGGGCGGTTGGTGGGCAGACGGTTCGGTGCTCGCTCTCCCCCTCTCTCTTCCTCTGACGGTTCCGGTCGCTCTGACACAACTCCTGGCCCGGGCCCTCCCGCTCCCCGATGCGGCCAATCACAGTGACGCTACGAAGAGGGAGGGGGGAGCACCACGTGATTGGCTGGCGCGAGTCGTGGGCCGGACCGGATGCGTCTCCTCCCCTGGACGCGGTCCAATCAGCGGCGTGGGATGTCTATCTGCTGTCGTAGCGCGAGATGGAAGTCGACGGAACGTCAGAGGTTTCCGTCAGAGACCAGCCAGAGAGCCTCGCCGCTCGCAGGCCAGGTGTACCGCCCGGTGCGCGCGCAGGCCGTTAGTGGTTGACCAATCAGATCGCAAGGTATGCGTAACGCTGCCAGTAATGGGCGTGGTCTGCAAGTTTCAGGTATTTGACGTCACAGTCTACGCCCTAGTGCGATGGTTTTTGTGGCCAGAGAGCTGAGGATATGGCTTTGTGAGGATATGGCTGTCTGTGCAGAGCCGGGGGCCACACAGTGACCTCTAACTGGTCCTTAATGGGCGCAGCCCTGACAGGGAATATACAGACATCCCAACATGCAAAAACTAATTACAGAGAGGCAGCTTCACCAGTAACTGCACTGCCCATCCACACGCTCTCTCACACACACACAATATTTTATTATGACAGAACACATCTATTTACACAGACACTGACACACAGATACACTCACTGACACTCAGGGCATGACACGGTTGTCATGGGCCTGGAGGGCCGGGCTGCTCAGGGGGTCCCGGGCCCCACATTGCCTATGTACGCTTATATAGCGATCATCACTATATACATGTGTACCTGCGGGCCCCTGGCTTCCTGTATACTGTGGGGGGCCCAGCACAGTCCATCCTCACTTCTCTCTCTAAGTCTCGCAAGCCGCGCTGTTGTCAGAGCGTTGCTACCGGTTACCATGGCAATGCTCCGCATGGCTCGCAAGGCTTGGAGAGAGAAGAGCAGTTGGGAAGTGAGGATGGACTGTGCTGGGCCCCCTGCAGTATACGGAAAGCCAGGGGCCCGCAGCATGCCACCAGGGAATCTGCCCTCCCCTCTTCCTGGCCACAGGTAAGATGCAGGGAGAAGGGAATAAAATAACATTTACTAGATGTGGCAAACCCTGCCACTAAGATACTAACTGTTCTTTGCGAATGAACGCTGGAGTTCTAATAGTCGAATGTGTGCAAAGGCAGAGACTCAGTTCACGAACGGACTATACGATCATCCATGTGAATGCTCTGAAACTACCGAATGAGGGACCACCCCGGTGTGGTCGTGTGTCTCCTATTAATAAAAGATACAGTGTTGCAAAGTGTGTTAAGTGCTAGTGTGTGTGGCCGCCATTTCGCCTACCAAACACGTGGCGGCGGCCATCTTACGCACGAACAGCGGTACTTGGTCGTCAAACGCCTGGAACCCAAACCGGGCATACGACTAACCAAGTACCGCTAAGACCTCCAGCACGCTAAAAAGGCACGAATCAAACACACGAACACCTCAGCATTCGGTATGTGGAATCCCACGAACGAGGGGATTCATTCGAACGGTAAAGGAAGCCTGGATGCCATAGCCTTTCGGGACTTTTGATTCACCAGAAGAGACCAACCATGGAATTCATGGAACCGTTTTCGGCTACTGTGCCCGTGCGGTCGGTCAAATCTTTCACCTGCTGTAACTCCCGAACCCCAGGTCCGATCTGGGTGAATTTTGAGTATGTTGCTCACCCAGATCAGGGCTACCAGGGGACCCCTTATTCAACCCTGTACCCCCTGTATTTAGGGGACATCTACAAATTGGGGAAAACTGTGTACATATTAATCTTGTTAATTGTTAAGCTAAGGGGAGGAGAAGTAGGGGAGGTGGCCACTGTGTGATTGGTTACTGTAGTAATTATGAAAGTTACCTCCCTTGCATGGGAAAAATGCATAAAAGCAGACCTGTGAATAAAGACATCAGTTGACTCCCAGACTATGTGTCGTCTAGACCTTGGGGAGGTGGATTATGCTGTGTTCCTGTGATTTATATTATATATTTTTTTAAATGCACCCCCACTACATTTTACACAACATTTACACACACTTCATCCTTACACAAACCCACATTCTGCAGTCACTATACACACACTACACAAACACACAATCACTGCATACATTTCATAAACATACAATCTGCATCCACTTTACACACTGCATCTATGACACACACACACCTCATCCTCTATACACATGACACAATGATGCACACTCAAATATACACTGACATTCAGATACACTCACTGGCACATACGCACACTTGGATATATACAGATACATACTGGCACATACACACTCAGATACACACACACATTCAGATACACACACAGATTTACACAATCTTACATACATAGCCACATGGTATACTTATTTGATCCGCAGCCAACCTAAATTTACCTTGGGTTACATAGTTACATAGCTGAAAAGAGACTTGCGTCCATCAAGTTCAGCCTTCCTCACATTTTTTTTTTGCTGTCGATCAAAAAGAAGGCAAAAAAAAACAGTTTGAAGCACAATTTTGCAACAAGCTAGGAAAAAAATTCCTTCTTGACCCCAGAATGGCAGTCAGATTTATCCTTGGATCAAGCAGTTATTACCCTACATTGAAAGATTATATCCTTGAATATTCTGTTTTGCTGGCTGAGGCTGATGGGAGTGAGCATGTAGCTGCTCACTCCAGTCACTTCACTGCCTCCTTGCTGCATGTGTGCTCCAGCCTCCTCCCTCCCACGCAGCTGTCTTTTTAGCTGGGAGGAAGTGACACGGTGTGTATCACTTCCTCTCATCCGGCAAATACTGCAGGAGCCCGGTCAGGCTCTTAAAAGGCCGGGGCACCCGACCGGGCCCCTGTTCACAAAAAATATTTATCAGGTTGGTAATCATAATGAATGCTAAATGCCCTTAATTTACTAAGAACATTTAGCATATATAATAGCCTGGAAATCACTTACACACAATCTAATATATATATATAGTGTGTGTGATTTCCGGGATAGTATATGAGACTTGAGGGTGTCAGGGAGTCTCACTACAAATGTGGGGGTCTGCCGGACCTACCGGGAAACTTGGGATGTCTGTACGTGTCTTATCACAGCTCTGACAGGGAATACATTGCTTATCACAGCTCTACCTACACTGGGGGCATTCAATAACCAGACACAGATATTCACTAACAATTCACAATTCCCAACAATTCACAATTTTGTGAAAGTTTACTAACTTAAATATAATCTATAGTTTACAGAGATGTTATAATTATTTGTACACTGAGCACAATGCACCATTTTCACAGTGGAGTCTTATTGAAAGGAAACATTAGGCAGCACCCAAACAAACCTGTATTCCTAACGTTATAGTCTTTTAGTCTATAGTTAATTCTGACCCCTCGCCCGACCCACCATTACTGGCATCTAACGGCAGAAGCCGCTCTCAGTACAATTGTCCAATCCAATGCTCTTCACAGAGAACATTGAGAACTGATGCGCATGCATGGCGAATGTGCATACACCCAAACACTTCTCATAGGAAAGTATTGAATTAATGTTTTCCTATGAACTGACCATGTTTTACTTGTTTGTTGTAGCAGAAGTGGCTTTAGTGTCTGCCAGGAAGACATTCTCTATAGGTGTGATTAACCATGTAAACATTACAGCTTGTACAAAACTGCAGTATTTTACATTGCAGGATTAAAATGACAGGACCACTTCTCCCAGACCACACCATTGAGATTACATGGTCCTTTAAACATAAATCTTTAAAAGATAACTGTATTAGGAAAAACAAAAAATTCCTGTCCATATCCTTGGCAGCCCTACAGTGGGTATAACTCCCACCACATTAAAACTGGACACTAACACCTCCTAATTAAATAATAAATGGAACTCCCATCACACATGCCTCCAGTCTTTTCATTTTCCTATCTGCTCCCATTTTACCTAGGAATTGTTTTGAACCTCCTCTTTTTTGTGGCCTGTTTTGGTCTTTTTTACCCCCTTCTAAGTGATGAGTAAGAGATACATCTTGGTGTAAGAGACACAAATAGGGCGTAAGATACACTAAGTAGAGATAACATATTTAAAAGGATAGATTATAAACACAAGGGGAAAAAAGTGACAAATGAAGGGGTAAGAGATCACAAAAAGGTGGATGAAGGTCGCAAAATCAGGAATAAAAATAACACAATGGGGATACAATAGATAAAAGGTGGTAAGACACAAAAATGCTGTAAGATACACAAATGGAGCACAAGAAAATTGTCTCACTCACAACAGTAGGTAAAATGCTAATTAATTCAGTTTCTCACAGCAAACTAAATAATGTTTTGACCTAGTGGTACGTCTCAATCAAGTTCCAAGTGCCCCATAATACTGTCCCTATCCCTGCACAATACTGCCCCATAATACTGTCCCTATACCCGCACAATACTGCCCCATAGTACCGTCCCTATCCCCCCACAATACTGCCCCATAGTACCGTCCCTATCCCCCCATAGTACTGCCCCTAACCCCCAAAATACTGCCCCATAGTACTGTCCCTACCCCCCACAATAATGCACCTGCCCCATAATACTGTCCCTATCCCCCCACAATACTGCCCCATAATACTGTCCCTACCCCCCCACAATATTGCCCCATAATACCGTCCCTATCCCTGCACAATACTGCCCCACAATACTGTGCCTATCCCCCCACAATACTGCCCACGCCCCATAATACTGTTCCCATTTTCCCCATAATACTGTCTCTTTTCCTCCACAATACTGCCCCAGCCCCATAATACTGTCCCTATCCCCCACAATACTGCCCCATAATACTGTCCCTATCCTCCACAATACTGCCCCATAATACTGTCCCTATCTGCCCACAACACTGCTCCATAATACTGTCCCTATCCCCCCACAATACTGCCTCATAATACTGTTTCTATCCTCCCACAATACTGCCCATGACCACAAATACTGTCCCTACCCCCCCACAATACTGCCCCTGCCCAATAATATTGTTCCTGACCCCCAATACTGTCCTTAACCACCACCATACTTCCCCTGTCCTCCAACACTGTCCCTATCCCCCACACAATGCTGCCCTAACCACCCACAAAACTTTCCCTGTCCCCCAATACTGTCCCTATCCCCCCTCATAATGTTCCACAAATCTACAGCAATCCTTGCCCCTAAACTGTTTGTATCCCCCACCATAGCCCCAGTCCCCCACATTACTGTTCCTATCCAGCCACCACCACAGCCCCAGTCTCCTGCAATACTGCCTCTACCCCCCATTAGGCCCCAATCCCCAACAATACTGCTCCCATCTCCTTACTAATGCCCCAATCCCCTGAAATACTGCCCCAGTCCTACCACACTAAAGAATCAATCCGCCACAAAACAGCCCTTGTCCCCACACTAAAAAATCAATCCCCACAATATAGCCCCTGTCCCCATCAGAATAAATCCCCAATCCCCCACAACACTGCCCCTAGTATTAATGTTCTATTTATTTTGTGCAAGTGTTAAATAATCGTATTTATACAAGATCTTTTGTTTTGTTAAAATCAGGCAATAGTGCATTACTTAAAGTATTATTACCAGTGGTATTAAGTGGAATAACTGAAATATATGCAAAACTTTTGGTTAATTTCTGTGACCTAATAAATAAAGAACTGTTCCTTTTGCATATTTTTGTGTTGTGAGAAATTTCACACACACACTTAAAATATAACGTTATAAACAACTCCCAGTTTACTGAATAAGAATATACCTGGCGAGTAAAAATGCTATCCTCCCCCCAGATTTGTGGTCTCCACTATCTTTTTTTATAGTCTGTGCCTAAATATTAGGACATGTGCTTATGGATATGGCTCCCAATGGGGAATTCTAGC